AGGCACCAGGTAACTGGCTGGCACCTGGGTAACTGGTGGCACCTGAGTAACTGGCTGGCACCAGGTGACTGGCTGGCACAGTGCTGGCTGGCACGTGGGTAACTGGCTGGCACCTTGAGTAACTGGCTGCTAGTAGCAGCTGGCAGCGGTAACTGACTGGCACCAGCAGTGGCACCGAGGTAACTGGTGGCACCTTGAGTAACTGACTGGCACCTTGAGTAACTGGCTGGCACCTTGAGTAACTACGGCTGCTGCCTTGAGTAACTGGCTGGCACCTAGGTAACTGGCTGGCTTGAGTAACTGACTGGCACCTGAGGTAACTGGCTGGCACAGCAGCTTGACTGGCACCTGGTGACTGGCACCGCCCAGGTAACTGACTGGCACAGCAGGTAACTGACTGGCACCTTGAGTAACTGACTGGAACCAAGTAACTGTATACCTGACTAACTGGACTGTTAATAACACATTAATTAATAGGTAAATAAACTTGAAGGCTTGACCTCTTGATAAGATACAGGTAAGGAAAAAAGAAGGAATTAAGGAAGGAAGAAAGAAAGGAAGGAAGTGGGAAGTAAGGAAGTAGGAAGTGGGAAGTGGGAGTAAGAAGTGGGGAGAAGAAAGAGTAGGGAAGAAGGTAGTAAGAAGTCACACTCCTGCATTTCTCGTAGTTACGGTGTTGTGGCAGTAGTTACGGTGTTGTGACGGTAGTTACAGTATTGACGTAGTTACGGTGTTGTGACGTATTACGGTGTTGTGACGTAGTTACGGTGTTGTATTCGTTTGTTTTGTGCGTAGTTACGGTGTTGTGGCGGTAGTTACGGTGTTGTGACGGTAGTTACGGTGTTGTGGCAGTAGTTACGGTGTTGTGACGGTAGTTACGGTGTTGTGACGGTAGTTACGGTGTTGTGACGGTAGTTACGGTGTTGTGACGGTAGTTACGGTGTTGGTAGTTACGGTGTTGTGGCAGTTACGGTGTTGTGACGGTAGTTACGGTGTTGTGACGGTAGTTACGGTGTTGTGACGGTAGTTACGGTGTTGTGAGCGGTAGTTACGGTGTTGTGGCGGTAGTTACGGTGTTGTGACGGTAGTTACGGTGTTGTGACGGTAGTTACGGTGTTGTGACGGTAGTTACGGTGTTGTGACGGTAGTTACGGTGTTGTGACGGTAGACGGAGGCAGCAGATTATGAAGACTAGCAAGAGTGAAAGCTTCTATTGATTCTCTGAGAGGGTCAGGTGAAGGCCGCCCTGCCCTGCTGCCGCCCTGCTGCCATTCACTACCACCACCCTGCCGCCACTGCTGCCATTCACTACCTCCACCCTGCCCCACTACCACTCTGCGCCCACTGTTGCCATTCACTACCACCCTGCCGCCCACTACCACCACCCTGCGCCCACTACCACCACCCTGCCGCCCACTACCACCACCCTGCGCCACTACCACCACTCTGCCCCCACTGTTGCCATTCACTACCACCCTGCCGCCCATTGTTGCCATTCACTACCTCCACCCTGCCGCCCACTACCACCACTCTGCCGCCCACTGTTGCCATTCACTACCACCATCCTGCCGCCCACTACCACCACTCTGCCGCCCACTGTTGCCATTCACTACCACCACCCTGCCGCCCTACCACCACCCTGCCGCCCACTGCTGCCATTCAACCCACCCTGCCGCCACTACCACCACTCTGCCGCCCACTGTTGCCATTCACTACCACCACCCTGCCTCCCACTACCCTGCCGCCCACTGCTGCCATTCACTACCATCACCCTGCCCACTACCACCACTCTGCCGCCACTGCTGCATTCACTACCACCACCCTGCCGCCCTACCACCACCCTGCCGCCCACTACCACCACCCTGCCCACTACCACCCTGCCGCCCACTACCACCACCCTGCCCACTACCACCACCCTGCCCCACTACTACCCTGCCCTGCCCACTACCACCACCTGCCCACTACCACCACCCTGCCGCCCACTACCACCACCCTGCCGCCCACTGTTGTCATTCACTACACACACACTGTAAACAATAAGTTGTGGGGATGACTATTGAAAACACCTGAAGTTGGCTGATGTCTGACACCTGAAGGCTGTCTGGTGGCTGATAGGCTGACAACCTGAAGGCTGTCTGGTGGTGCTGACAGTAGGCCGACACACCTGAAGGCTGTCTGGTGGTGCTGACAGTGCTGCACACTGAAGGCTGTCTGTGGTGCTGACAGTGCCCTGACACACCTGAAGGCTGTCTGGTGGGCTGGGTCTGACATGAAGGCTGTCTGGTGGTGCTGAGCTGACTGGGTCTGGTGGTGCTGACAGTAGGCCTGACACACCTGAAGGCTGTCTGGTGGTGCTGACAGTAGGTCCTGACACACCTGAAGGCTGTCTGGTGGTGCTGACAGTAGGCCTGACACCTGAAGGCTGTCTGGTGGTGCTGACAGTAGGCCTGACACACCTGAAGGCTGTCTGGTGCTGACAGTAGGTCTGACACACCTGAAGGCTGTCTGGTGGTGCTGACAGTGGTCTGACACACCTGGGCTGCTGGTGGTGCTGACATGGCTGACACCTGAAGGCTGTCTGGTGGTGCTGACAGTAGGTCTGGCAACCTGAAGGCTGTCTGGTGGTGCTGACAGTAGGCCCTGACACACCTGAAGGCTGTCTGGTGGTGCTGACAGTGGTCGACACACCTGAAGGCTGTCTGGTGGTGCTGACAGAGTCCTGACACACCTGAAGGCTGTCTGGTGTGCTGACAGTAGGCCTGACACACCTGAAGGCTGTCTGGTGGTGCTGACAGTAGGTCCTGACACACCTGAGGCTGTCTGGTGGTGCTGACAGTGGCCCTGACCCTGAAGGCTGTCTGGTGGATGCCCTGACACACCTGAAGGCTGTCTGGTGGTGCTGACAGTAGGTCCTGACACACCTGAAGGCTGTCTGGTGGTGCTGACAGTAGGTCCTGACACACCTGACCTGTTGAGGTGATGACTGACAGGTGATACTACACACAGGTAACATGACTGAGGTGTGACGGTGAAGTGAGGTGGTGGAGGTGTTACGATTACCTCCACATCTCCAACACAGTGATTATCTCCAACACAGTGATTATCTCCAACACAGTGATTATCTCCAACACAGTGATTATCTCCAACACAGTGATTATCTCCAACACAGTGATTATCTCACACAGTGATTATCTCCAACACAGTGATTATCTCCACAGTGATTATCTCCAACACAGTGATTATCTCCAACACAGTGATTATCTCCAACACGATTATCTCCAACACAGTGATTATCTCCAACACAGTGATTATCTCAACAGTGATTATCTGAAGGTTTAGTTAGTGTAGTCAGGGTAGGAAAATAGGAACACATCTTCACTACAATCTACGTTACTACAGCAGCATCCTAAGTGTGAGAGAGATGTAGTGGTGGTGATGATGGGAGTGGTGGTGATAGTGGTGATGATGGGAGTGGTGGTGGTGGTGGTGGTGATGATGGGGATGGTGGTGGTGGTGGTGGTGATGGTGGGGGTGGTGGTGGTGGTGGTGATGTGGGGAGTAGTGGTGGTATGGGTGATGATGGAATGGTGGTGGTGATAGTGTTGTGGGTGTGGTGTGTGGTGGTGTGGTGTGTGGTGTGGTGTGTGTGGGGTGTGGTGGTGGGTGTGGGTGGTGGTGGTATGTGATGATGGGGTGGTGGTGGTGATAGTGGTGATGATGATGGGGGTGGTGGTGATAGTGGTGATGATGGGGTGGTGTGGTGATGTGGTGATGGTGGGTGGTGGTGGTGTGTGGTGATGATGATGGTGGTGATAGTGGTGATGGGGGTGGTGGTGGTGGTGATGATGGTGTGGTGTGGTGATGATGGGTGGTGGTGGTGGTGGTGATGATGGGTGGTGGTGGTGGTGGTGATGATGGGGTGGTGGTGGTGTAGTGGTGATGGTGGTGGTGATGATGGGAGTGGTGGTGGTGGTGGTGTGTGGGGTGGTGTGTGGGGTGGTGGTGATGATGGGAGTGGTGGTGGTGGTGGTGATGATGGGAGTGGTGGTGGTGATAGTGGTGATGATGGGAGTGGTGGTGGTGATGGGAGTGGTGGTGGTGATAGTGGTGATGATGGGAGTGGTGATGACAGTTTCTTGTACTTGAAGGGTGAGGAACTAGAGAGAGAACTAGCACTCCATTCATAACCTCGAGTGTAAAAAAACCTTTACAAGTTAGTGAGGTGTAACTCGTGCCCTCCCCCCCTCCCCCCACACGTCAGAGATAGAGAGAAAAGAGAGGTATATAGAGAGAAGAGAGAGAGAGATAGAAAAGATATAGAGAAAGGGAGATAATGATTGTAAGATGGTCAGGTCAGGTCAGGTCAGGTCAGGTCAGGATTATAACACTTTCAGTCATCAGGATATATGTAAACGAGTTAATGTTTTACAGGGAGACGAAAGGTGAACCAACTCTTGTTTATCTGACGGTGGTGGCGTTGTCCTCCCCACCCACTAACTTACTCAGTAGTTTTACCTGTCATGAGTGGTGTGTGTGTGTGTGTATGACGGTCGATGTTGTGTAGAAATTATGTGTCGTGGGCATAGTGTGGTATGCCTGTGAGGAGGAGGAGGAGGAGGAGGGGGGGATGGTGTTGATGGATGGGCTGTGTAAAAGGTGTGTTTAACGGTATGTCGTAGAGGAGGGAGGAGAAGAAAAGTTGACACACTGAAGAAATTATATTGTGACGTATGACGGGGTGTGTGGGGGGTAGTAGTACAGGTGATGGTCGTTAAGAGAATAGGTCACCTGGCTGCCGGTCATTACCCCCTAACTTGCCTATATGACCCTATACGGTAATGCACTTGACCTGATCACGCCTTCCTGTGTTACTGCACGCACTTACAGAGAGGGTTGAGTGTGTGTTTGAGAGAGAGAGAGGGGGTGTATGTGTTTGTTTGTTTCTGTGTTTGTACCATTTCCATGTCTTGTTACTAATAATGAATTGTTGTGTTGTGTAGGTCGAGTGAGAACTGGTCGAGGTGGTGAGGGGAGCGCGCTGATGCGACGCACGGCTTCGCTGGACACCATCTACCTCAAGGGACAGTGGCCTAAGGACGACCAACCCTTCACAAACTTGCTGAATGTAGACAAGGCTTCACAGGTGAGTCCTTCTTTTACACACACACACACCTGCTGCATGTAGACAAGGCTTCACAGGTGAGTCCTTCTTTTACACACACACACACACACACCTGCTGCATGTAGACAAGGCTTCACAGGTGAATCCTTCCCCCTCACACACACACACAGTTACACCTGTACCTTAAACAAAGCTTCATACACCTGCCACACTTACAGTTAGGGGATAATTAGGTTAGATTAAGAGAAAATTAAGGAGATTAGGGGAGATTTAGGGAGATCAGGAGATAATTAATGAGATGATAGGTCAGGTCAGGTCATCTCAGGTAGTCTTGGAAAACAAATAGAGTTAGGTGGATTTAACGGAGTTTTAGGTAAAGGTAAAATTTATGAAACATTTTAAGGGATAACTGAGGTAGAATTTATGAAACATTTTAAGGGATAACTGAGGTAGAATTTATTAGACATTTTAAGGGATAACTGAGGTAGAATTTATTAGACATTTTAAGGGATAACTGAGGTAGAATTTATGAAACATTTTTAGGGATAACTGAGGTAGAATTTATTAGACATTTTAAGGGATAACCGAGGTAGAATTTACAAGATGTAGAATGCCCACCACGATACATTAGTTACCGTCCAGACGAGACAGAGAATGACCAAGGGAGACTTAAGAAGATCAGGGAAGTCTTGGGGGGAGGATACTTAGGAAGGCTAGGTGGGACTTAAGAAAGACTTAGGAGGTGGTCCCTGGAAGCTTAAGAGAGAGTTAGCAAGTCTGAAAAAAGGGAGTCTTGGAGGAGGGGGATGGGGGTATAAGGTGAACAGGTTCTGGATTACCTTGGAAACACTTTCTCCCCCCTCTCAAGGGATGGTCTAGTGGAAGGTTGTGGGAAAGAGGGGGGGGAGGAGGGTTCAGTGGAAGGTTCTGGGGGGGGGGAGGAGCTAGGAGAGTTATAACTGTACAGAATATAATGAGATGTGTGTACATCACTGGACATCACTCTCAGATACTGTAATTCCTTTTCACGTGATGACGCTGTGCAGGGATTTCTTTTTTAACAGATTTTAATAAGGTATAATTCCCTAATATTAACTGCATACAATATGTAAGATGTTCCTGAACTTTTGAATTAATGCAAGTTCTGTAACTCATAACACATGTACTGAACTGTACTATACTCACATTTGAATGAGAGATATTCCATGAGGTCATATCTTAGTAAACAAGACATGTGTGTTGTTCATGCTCAACAAAACTAACTGAATGTGTTTCCCTTGTGTGCTCCCCAAAAAACATTGTGATTTTGAACTGATCTATTATGTAGATTTTAAATGTATTTTAGGTGTGTAGCTCAGCTGTCGAGTGTACAGAACAGTTGGTGAAGCACATTTGCCTTGGTGGACACCAAACTTGATGAACTGTGGACTTGAATGATGAGTGGATCCATTTTCTCCAATATGTATTAGTCTTTCTCACTATGTGAATTTGTGTTCACAGACCCCAGAAGAGTGGGCCTCAAGCTGTTATGGGGGGGTGAGCCTTGGTTGGTCGGTGTACGAAGAATCCAATAACAGCGGCAGCAATAGTAGCAGTAACAACAGCAGCAGACGCCCCTCAGTGTCTGTGGTGTCATCCCCGTGGTTGACTAGTGGGCACCAGACTCCTACTGCGGCATCGGGAGAACAAATAGACAAATTTATTCGACATCGGTAAGTATCTCGGTGCCTTCTTCCTGCCTCTGATTTAGGCTTGTACTAATGATTCATTACAGTACTACCTGGCACAATATAATATATTTTTTAGTTTCATATTTATGTCAACGTTTGGTTACTTGAGTGTTTGATCCACGAAGGAATGGTCACAGGTTAAATCCCAGCTAGTGTGGAGAATTAAGTTCCCTCTTTACACACGTCCCCTTATGCCAGTAAATAAGTCCACTCTTGGATGAACTTGCTGGTGGTAGAACATCTCTGGAGTAGGATCCTGCCAAGCTGGTGTATGCCAAGACTCAAGGATTAAATGCCTATCCAGCTACCCTAAAGAATAGGCTTGTGTGTGTGTGTGTGTGTGAACTGCAGGTGATGCTAGTTCATTTGCTGCAGCTTGAGGTATAGTACAGTATATTTATGAATTTACTTTAGCCATATTTGTATCTTGATGAGCAGCTCTGTGAATACTGGTCTTGTCTCACTGGTTGAGACAACTAATAATTACACTTGGCTGCTTTTGTTTGATATAATCTGGGGTCAAGAGAACATCCGCCTGGTAGCTAGAACAAGGATTGGAATTGGACAGCCATAGTTGTGTGTGTGTGTTTGTCTGAATGGTTAAGAACTTTTTTAATGTCTGGTTAATTAATTTCAAGTGCATTTTGCCTCACAGGTAACAAGATTTTTTCCCATTTCACAAGACATTTGTTTTGATGCTGTCTCATTTTGAATTACATTAATGAGTGTGCAGGATTTATTCTTCACACAAATGATGTAGGTTTGTTTTTCTCCCAGTTTGGTCACAAGAATAAAAAAAACAAAATAAAAATACTTGTTCATGAGCCACGGGCACATTTTAACACATCTGGACTTACAGTTTTGACTTTCAACTGTTTGGTTATATAATTTTTCCATATACTGTATTTAAAATTTGCTCTGAAACACTGTAGATTTATTCTAAGTTCTTTGGTGATGTCAACCAGAGATGTAACTTTCTTAATTGCCCCCTCATACTGTACCAATACTGTACCTGTACCACAAAAATATAAGCTCAGTCTTGTTGTTTCTATAGTACTTGAGTATTTTTTATATACTCCAGAGAGAGAGAGACTATAGTTGGTCATGTACTGTACTGGACATTCATTTTGGTGGGTTGTCTGCAACTTAGATCAAGAGTAGACCATACAGATATAAATATAGTAATGCTAGATTTATGAGTAAAGATAAATAAAAATGTTGGTGCAGTATATATAAAATGGACCCTTTGAGTATGTAATGAATACACTGAGTGGGTACAGTACAGTACGTATTTGTAAATCATGAAGGAAATACAAACTTACCAAGATAAATGTTTCATCTGTATAATTGTAAGGAGAAGCACATGGGCATAACCTATTTGTCATTAGTGTTGTTATACAGGATAAATTATAGACCGTAAGGAGCTGACACTTGAATGATAGACAATGAAAACCTCTAGTTACCGGACCACAGTATATGGAGAGAATCCGTTATATCGAGGACCCGTTATATGTGAAACCTCCATCCAATGAACTATATAGAGATCAAAGTCCTTTATAGCGAGGGTCCACTAGATATGAAACCCCTATTTAATGGATTTTATGGAGAGATGACTCCATTGTTTGCAGGCTATAATGAACTAACAACTCTATTATATGTTGGCACCAGTAACTTGATGAGGTTATTATTTGTTGGCAGAAATAAGCTCCTTTAAGAATTACTTGTTGTTAACGTCTGCGTCACATCCACCGGACTATTTCCAGGCTGCAACGAACCAACAAAGAAGGTACAGCAGGGGGTGGGCTGCGCTACAGTCCCGTACATGCTGATCACTCCGTCCTTGCACCAACTCCCATACACCCAAGACACCATCCCCTCCAACATACAAATGGTGAGTGTCCTGCTGTTGAATTGAGAGGAAAAGTGAAGTCTATTGCCAGTAATTTTTTTTTTGCCAAATTTTATGAATAATCTTCTCATCTTCTTAATATTATCCAGTCATACAGTACTTCCTCTTCTCTCAGTCATACTTCTTTCCTGTACATTCATTCATACTCCCTGTTCATCCAAGCATACCTCTTTTTCCATCCAGTCATATTGCCTGCTCATACAGTCATACATCTTGTCCAATAAATTATACTTCCTGGCCCATGAGTCACACTTGCTGGTCCATTGAGGGTGTGTGGTGGAAATACTGTATGAATAAAGTTGTTTTGAAAATAAGTAGAAGTAAACAGAGCAAAGCTGAGGTGATGTTTCTTCTCTATCATAGGTTACAATAATTTGTTTTCTGGTTCCCTGGATAACTTTCAAATGTAGACGAGTTTACAGCCGCGATGATTCTTTGTCTCAACACCAAAATACCATTGTGAGGGGGGTTTTTTGTCTGTGTTTTTCTTTCATTGAAATTGCCAGCTTAGGTTACATCATCAGAAGAGGTGAGAGAATGTCAGATAATAAGTACTTGTGGTTGAAACAGATTCACTGGATCATATTGAAATGTAAAGTATATGTTATAACAATGCTTCAGTTTGCATATCTTAGAGATCAGTCCTTTTTATCTCTGGTATATTGAATGTATTAATTGATGAAGAATAAGTTAATGAGCCTTAAGTTCTATACACACTGAATTAAATAGTGGGAAAAGTTGACTAAAAGTTTACAACAGGTGTGAGATGCCATTATTGATGTTGCATTTCATTTATATTGCCAACTTAGACAAAATGTGGTAAAATTAACAGTTTTTATTGTTACAATCCTCCTTATTGGCATCTGGGTGAATTGTTCTGTAGGATCCAAAAATTGTGTTTGTGTATCAACCGTTGAATTCATTCATTAGGATCAAAACATTTTAATATTATATTATTAGTTAATTTTACCACTTGGCTCAAATGTTTTTTTTTATATTAAACAAGTGAATTAAATCGGTAGGATCAAAATGCTGTTCAGTAATGTCATATTGATAAGGGGTCTGTTTAGTTGGGTCAGAGGGCTATAACATTGTGTTAACAAATGAATTCAGTCTTTTCAATCCTAATATTTTTACTGTTTTGTTAACAGGTGGGTCCCGTGCCATCCCCATACCACAGTTGCCAAAGCCACTGCTTCCTCCTCGGCTGCGCAGCTCCGTGGAGGGTCTTAACCAAGAAATTGAACGCCTCGTCTTACGCCCGTCCCACATACCTGGGGATGACGTAGATGATGGGGTATGTACAGTAATTTAGGCAGGATCATTACACCTTAGATGTTATAATTTCTTTTGGTACAGTAGTTCTTTCATAGCAGGTGATGCCAACACATCTATGACCTGCTGATTTCAACGTTGTGTTTACAGTGGGGTGAAGTTGCACGTGACGGTCGAAGAGCACCAATTGCCGACTACCTGCGGTTTACGAGAAGTATCGACACTCAGACTCCGGCTCGAGGGTCAACAGTCTCTGCAACCAGTTCCAACCACACATCACCCTCCCTCTCCCCACCGACCTCTCCGCCACCTAGCCAGGATGCTGCCATGCCACCTTTGACTCCAAGCCCAACTAGTGCTCCGACACTGGCAACTTCCCCACACATAAACAAGTTTTTGGCACGGGAGCCTCCCGACGGCTGCGAGAGAGTAGCCCTCAAGCAGCACGAAGACAGGTAAAGTAATGCATTGTACATTACTTTGGTTGATTTTTTCTATTTCCCAAACAAAATTCACCAAGAATTGGTTTTGTGCTGCTTATTTAAAAAGTAGCTTGTCAAAAAGTTCTGAAAGTAAATGAGTTAGTCATTCATTTAGGATTTACAATACAGTATATTCATAGAGCTGGCAGACTGCATGGTGTTGCAAGTCAATAAGATCAACTGGGGCTTTATCAACATTAAATGAGAAAGGAGAAGCAACCAAGGTCACTGTCAGTTTCAATAAGCTTGGAATCAGAGAGTAAATTTGGTGAGTCTAAGAACACTTTAGGTTTACATCACAAACAGCTGTTGCAAATTCAAATCTCTTTGTTTCCTGTCAAAAACAACCAATCTCTGCTCATTTCCCACACTCTTTTCAGGACCTTTCCCAAATAACTTATCTTACATTAGTGTGACATAGAACATCTGTGTTGGATTTTAAATTCTTCACAACTTTGCCTACATTTACAACACTTACAGAGGACCTCTTGGTGGATGATGCAGTGGAGGAAAACAATATTCTGCTGAGCATTTGTGGCTTTCATTTGGTCTTTAATTCTTTTTCAGCAACCCAGTATTTTTACTCATCAGATTTGGACTTCCATCGTTGGTCACTCTCATCTATTTTTCCCCAATCCAGTCTTAATTTTTTGATGCACATATGTACTGCTTGCAGTTGTTGGATCTTTCATTGATGTCAGTTCTTCTGTGAGCTAAATGATCAACTGGACTGTATCTGGTGTCACAACTCTCAGTGAGTGTTAGTGAAAAATATTTAAAGTTACATATTTTATTTTTTAACTATAGATGCAGGTTCTTAGCAATATCCTCAACATGTCTGACAATAGTTCTCCTTCACAGATTTATATTATCTAACTGGTTCATCTTGTCTGGACATAAAATATGTGTACAGGCCGAGTTAACCACACACCCCTTATTGTTCTTGGCAATTTTGTGCACAACTCTTGTGTTATCATCTTGGGATATTGTTTTGTGAAAATACTCTCCTTTCTTTCATTTGACTACCGTATATACTTGTGTATAAACTGATCTCATATATAGTTCCACTCTTGATTTTTTGGTAAAAATCCCGAGATTTTCATATATCTCTTGTATGATTCAGTCTCAGCTTTTGAGAAATACAAGGTATAATCCTGGACATAATTTGTAGCAAGACGCCACGTTCACACCAACGTGTCTTGGCCGTGACCACCACCACAGCAGCTGACGCTATGAACGGTGTTACCAACTCTGAAACTGAATTCCCATCAGTTACCAACTCCTATGAGGAATAAGATAAAATAATATGTACCAGTAAATGTGAAGAATAAATCAAAATTGTACTTAAAAAAAAACACTGGTCTCTCGGTCAGTCACTCGGCTCCCACCAAGTTGCCAGATACCGCTGTTTGAACAAATCATACTGAAAACAGTTACTTCACTTCTTAGGCTGCCTGTACCTAACAATATCCCTGTCTACAGGTCAGGTGCAACTACGAGAGGTGCATGGCCAGCCGTCAGACCTCCTGGTGCTTTCACTCTTAGACCCAGTCAGGGGTCAGCCTTCTGTCCGCCAGACAGGTTAGGAACGGAAGAGATGTGTGGAGCCACAGCTCTCCCTGTGTGTCAGCATCACACTGGTACCGTGAGTGAACCTTGTCCTGTGTGTGGAAGCAGTAGTATTAGCGGATGTCCTCCCGATGTTGGTAGTCCAGATCAAGAACTCCAACAACCGTCTTCAAGTCAGTCAGCAGCAACGTGTGAAGCTGGTGTGTCTACTATGGTCCCTGGTCCTGCCAGCACAAGTATAGGGACATCCTCTGAAGTCACTGCTGATCAATAGCGAAGGCCATGTTTTAGCACATTTTACAATTATTTTTGTCATCCTGCAGTTTAACAGTTATCTTAAAAAGTGGTTCAGACATTGTGGTTCTTAATAGACATTATAGTGATTCGTGAATATGCTTACTGAGTATTATTTGGTATGTATTAATGTACACAGTGTATTAACTTTCAACGTGATTCAGCATTTCCAAGGCAATTTTGTACGTATATCCCAATGTTGCATATTGTTCACCTAGAAGTGAATAAGCTCCCTTACATCTCAGGATTTAATGGATAAGTAGCCACTATAACGTAGACCTAATTGACACATTGTAGGGAACTGCTCATGTACTTACTCTTCGTCCTCTTGGTGGGGGACCAGTCGACTACCCTCCTGCCAGGGAAGCATTGACTCTTCTGCTAGTGAAACTGGTGTAATCACTTATGTTGCTGGAACTAGTGTAATAACCTCCTACTACAGGAACTTTAGAATGACTTGCTGGTGTGGAAAGTTATTCACATACCCTCCTGCTCTGAAAGTGTAAAAAATGATGTCATTTTGGTGAATTATCTTAAGTATTCTCCTTATATTGTAACAGGTAAAGTCTCTCTTCTGCTAAAGGATTAATGAAATGATCCTTTTTCTGGAATAGAAATAGCTGTCTGCATACAATCACCTGAAATAAATGGTTGTTGTCGTGATAAAACTTTTGGCCATCCACAACTGGCCCGGCTACTATTAAAGGACAACATGTCACCAGCATATTGGAGGACTGGTTTGACACCCATTGAGGATTGTCATCTGTGATATCTGTTAATAGACTGGTTAAATTTGCTGGTTCACAAGACTTCTGTTGATCTCTCGTAACAGTATTCATTTTTTTTCTTACTTGTTCAAACCATTTTTCAATTAAGGCAAGTGATTAATTCATAGGCAATATGAAAAATATAAACTTAATTTAATTTGACATATTCTCAATTGCAGTGTAGTTGCCATTCTATCTGTGGTACTTTTAGTGGTGCTAAATTACTTGGAAGGAACCAATTTAATGATGCCTCTGCTGGGAGGGAGTAGTGTGGTTATGCTCCTGCTAGGAGGAAACTTGACCATTCTTGTCCCTAATTGAAAAGAACCAGTCTTATGTTTCTGCTGGGATAAAATCAGTTACACCATTCTTCTACTGGAAACAAAAGTGGATCCTGCCCTGACTGAAAAAAGTCTTATACCTCTTGTGGAAGGGAATCAGTTTCCTCATGTATATGGTGACAAGAATCCAGTCTCATCATGCTCCTAGTACAAGGGAACCAGTTTCATCATGCACCTGGTAGGAGGGATGTCTCGTCGTGCCCCTGCTGGGAGGGAACGAGTTTCATCATTCCTCTGCCAGGAGGGAACCAGTCTCATCATGCCCGTTGGGAGGAACCAGTCTCATCATTCCCCTGTAGGGAGAAACTAGTCTGACCATGCCTTTGTCGGGAGGAATCATTCTGATGAAACCCCTGTTGGGAGGAACCAGTCTGATCATGCCCTTGTTGGGAGGAACCAGTCTCATCATGCCTTTGTTGGGAGGAACCAGTCTGATTATGCCCCAGTTGAGAGGAACCAGTCTGATCATGTCCCTGTTGGGAGGAACCAGTCTCATCATACCCTTGTTGGGAGGAACCAGTCTGATCATGCATTATAAACACAATTTACACCATAACAAGTTCCTGCTGGAAACCTGTGATAGATTTCTTTGGATAAAATAAGATGTGGATCTGGATCGCTGGTGGTTGAGTGTGCCAACTGCTGTTGTGGCTGCTGCTCAAGTGGCAGCAGTTTAATTCAGCAACCTTAAGTCAGTAATGATACTTATCTGACATCCAAGAATATACCTCTGTTAAAAAAAGTCAGCCCTTCCCCTTACCCCTTTTTTTTATTAGAATTAAAATTTCTTTGCAAAAATAGATACAAGTGCTTACAAAACCACAGTTCAACCTGTCTTGCAGTATGGATTACAGTACACTTCTTTTGGCAGGGGTGTATTTTAATGTCTGTATAAGTTCATTGAATAAATCTACACTGTTATGGGCTGCATCAGGATTCTCAAAGATTTGTAGGAAATATCTTCCTCTTAATTGGAGATATCAGAACACATCTATCTGGATCACTTGAAGCACAGTACAAAGATGACAACTGAAAAACAGCATCTATAATGTATCAAGACCACAGTATGTAGATGAACTGTCTTATCACCAAATAGGAGGAAGTTTAACGTACAAATTTCTGGGAATATGACCATGCCCGCTCGCAGTGTAACTAAATTCAGTATTTGCATGACTGACTGTAATGCTGCTGGGAACTCTCCATCACCAGTAGCTTACATATTATAAAGCTAGTGGTGCCCAGCATGAGGAAAAAACTGCAGAAATCAGTTTACGAGCAAGTCACCAGTCTATAGTTGTCTGCTGGTCCGTGACCTAGATTGTCGTGTGCCTGCTACACCCAGTCTAAGGTCGTCGGCTAGTCTGTGACCTAGATTGATGTGTGCCTGTTACACCTGGTCTGTGGTTGTCTGCTGGCTGGTCCATAACCTAGATTGAGGTGTACCTGCTACACCCGCTACACCAGCCTCCTGTAGAAGGACCTCGGGTATGCCTCGGCTAATCTCACTTCTCATTAAACGCTCATTAAAATGAAAAGTTGTATGATTCTCCCTTTCTGAATTTACCCCGTGCCTCTGTTAGAAGTGAAATGTATTTTCGTGTATACTGCACAACGTAGATAATGGATACATTGTAGTCTGGCATTTTTTCTTCCTCTGTACGTAATAACTGTGCAGCACCCTGTATTTTGTTTGTTGTACACATAAGTCAGACCTCTACAAGCAAATAAGCTTAAGAATGCTAAGGTATCATTATTGGATTGAATCTGTGTAGAAATGTTAAGGGTATGAGGAGGAAAAGCAATAGAATGCAAGACTGAAGGAAGAGTAGCAAGCAAAAGAATGGCAAAGACCATGAATAGTTTCCCAATACAGTACAGTATAAACAGAAAAAGAGGATAAAAATGAAATAAATTTTTTGGGAATAAGTATATTTGAGTACAGTATATTGTACAGTGTATGGTTGGTTTATTGAGAGAGTTGTTGCAAAAATGGAGAGTACAGCACAGTGTATTAAAGATAAAGTGGTGTGGATACAGAAAATGAAGAGGATGTATAGAAGGGAAATAATGTGTCTGGCATTCATGGATCAAGAAAAAAAACAAGATGCACTTGATAGAATTTAAGCAATTTGGGAGATGATAAATATTTATGAGATAAATAGAAAATTGGTGGAGGCCATTCAGTGTTCTTATTGGGATAGTGAAACATGTATCAGAGTGTGTTGTGAGGAGGAAAATTGGTTCCCAGTGATAGTGTGTTTACATCAAGGATGGACATTGTCACCAAGGCAGTTCAAAGGTTTTATGAATTGGGTGATGAGAATGAAAAGAAAAGTACTGCACAGGGAAGCAATTAGCTTCTGGATTTAGTAATGCAGGTTGCAAATGGCAGTATAATTAGTTCCTGTTTATAATAATACTGCCCTAGTACAGTACATGATTCAGAAGAAAAGTTACAAAAATCAGTGAATGAGCTTGTTACAATGAGTACTAAAAGAGGGTTAATAGTGAATGTAAAACAAAAGTAAACTGATGAAAATAAGGTGAGAAGGAAGATAGAGAAATAAATGTTAGTTTGAAAAAAGATACAATGGAGGAAGTGAGGTGTTTGGGAGTGGATATGTTAGACAAGCTGATTCAAAGAGTAGTAAAAGAAGAGAGTATAATATGGAGGTGTATTAAGAAATGTAAATATAGAGAGAACTGTGTCAAAGTTTTGAACATTTAGAGAGACTGTATGTGTGGGTGAAGCACCGACTCTTTGGGTACAGGAGGAAGAATTAAATTTGAACTGGCAGAAATGATATACAGTGAACCCTCACTTTACGCGGTTAAGTCAACCCACGGCGGCCCTCGTAAAGTGAGAAACGCGTAAAGTGAACAACATAACATATGGGATTAATTGAAATAGAGACCGGGCCGACCCCCAAACTCCACTTTTTCAGACACAATACCTACGTTGTAGTAAAAATAACTTCTTAATTTTATGATGGTATGCACACACAATTAATAATTAAGAGAAATATCAATAATATTAGGTTTTTTAACACTTACATTAGTAGAAAAGATGGCTGGGCACATGGGGATGGGGGGTTGGTTCCGAGGCAGAGGGCAGATTATTGGCCCTCACCTGTATCACTTGTATCAATTGTATCACTATCCACCACAGAGGCTTGCAGGGCCTCTTTGTCAAACCCCTCAAAGTCCATATAAGTCCATATCCTCACTATCATTATCACTATCACTGACTTGGGCCGGCTGTGGTGGGTGGCGGGTGAAGAACTCGGTAATGTTTTGATGACTGGGCGACCTTGTGCGCACCCTGCTCGCGCCGCTTACACAACATGGCGGAGGGCGGGAGAGATGGCGGGAGGTTTGGATCCAAAAATGGCGCGGCTCGCCAGCCGCTCTCCGCGTAAAGGGGTACACGCACTGCGGAAAGTGAGCATTCCGGTTTCGGCAGGGTACCGCGTAAACGTGGAAACGCGTAATGTGGGACCGCGTAAAGCGAGGGTTGACTGTACAGTACTTGAGAGCAGTATGTAGGGTGAATAAAATGGATACAATAAGAAATATACACAGGAGACTGTAAATGAAGTTGGAGAGAAACTTTAGCAGCGTTTATTAAGATGATATGGACATATACTGTACTTAAGAGAAAATGAAGTGAGGGATTGGTAAACAAAATATTAGTATAGTTTAGAGACAGGAGAGAAGAGGAAAACCAAAAAGGGTTACGGAAGTATTGTACCAAATGTGAGGGGAGGGACATAAAAAAAAACAGTAGTAGGGTGATGGTGGCTGTCCTTCAGCAGTGGGAGAAGGCTTGCAAGAAACAATATTATACAGTAGTGTATGATGCAATAGAATAAGAGCTTAAAAAAAAAAGATATACGAGTAATCTTCCCAGTAGCCGGAATAATGTGTGCACAGCAGCTCTAGGTTTGAGAGATTTCCGGGTATTGGGACAAATTTTCTTATCCCCAGAATTTTTCTGGGCACTGGTGAATATTTCCACATCTAAACTAAGAATCTTTCACAGAGCACCGCTGCTATGGAGGCATAACTGCAGTCGGACAGACACAGCTGCATTTATCTATGCAAACACTACTGTACACACACGGTAAACCCTTGATAGCTCATATTTCTATATACCGTATATACTCGTGTATAGTTTGAGTTTTTAAGACCAAATTTTTTGGCAAAAAATTGGGGGTCGTCCTATACATGCGTAATAGTTTTGTTAGGTTGAACCCGTACATGATGGGAAGGGCGAGGAGCAACTTTTATCTTCAGACATGAAAAATATTTACCATTTACTGCCAGTAAACAATGGAAAAGTAAAATATGTACCAAGTAGTAATGAAAAGTTGTGCAGTTCCTTCAGTAAATGAAGCTCACCTATACTGCCAGACTGGGAGTCACTAATACTAAGGGTAAATACTTAACTCTAATCTTAATTCCTAAGGGTCGCTGCCACCAGACCCCCTCTGGACAGTATGTAGCTCGTTAGGTAGCGTGCAGAGTGGACTAGGCATTGGGTTAGGTTTTCCATTGACCAGATCGATAAGGGGAAAGAAGGGTGAAACCATAACACGTCTTAATTAATTTATTCCTTATAAAGCATACTGGTAGAAAACATACAATTGAATGGGTCTTCCTCAGAAGAACAATGAAAATGTTGGTTACCCAGATGGGCACCAGACGTCTTACATTAATGGCGTGTCATCCACATACTTATTGCATAACAATCTGTGGCCTCCTTACTTCGGTCATTCCTTCTTACACTACCCCTTAACACATCAGACTGCTCCACCTGTATGGAATATAGCACCATCGGTTATCATACATAGTAGCACCATCTCAACACACATGTTACACTCCATACCTGCAGGTATGGGACTCCTTGTGACTTTTAGGTATACACAACAGGCACCTCGTTCACACACCGCCCTCGGTGGGTAAAGACGAGGGCTTCACCCAGAGACATACCAGTACTATTTCTATGCCTGGTATTATAGGTCGCTCCAAGTGACAACCGCAGAGTTTCTCACGGTCTCCTTAATTGTGACTACTCATTTGGAGTGGTGTGCTGGAAATCCACAGGTTCACAGTGGAGTGGCATAGCTGGGAGTAGTCACCACCTGTTGGGACGCTCATAGGGATAATGGCTGCCGGGCAGCAAGGCACTCCGACCGCATGGAACCTGAGGTGACGGTAGAACGGAGGGTACTGAGGGCAGTGCCCTGCCGCTCGTCACCGCATAGGCCTACAGTTTCCAATCTTTAATTTTTACTTTTATTTCTTACGGTTCTCACCTGAACACTTTTCGGTATATTGTCACTCATGCCGTATAAACACATATTTTAATCCTAAATTACACACTAAGGTAAGGTCTTGGTTTGCTAGTTCGTGGGTAAATTCATTGGGTTATAATATCAACGCGGCACACCCGAGGCGGGTACATGACGCGCCTTAAAACAAAGGCTGAATGTTCATGGCGGGGGTGTATCAACTTCACTTAAAACTGTAATGAGGGATCCTCCTCTCACACATTGCACTATTTGAACACAGACATAAGATTCTCTGATCACTGTACCTGTCGTGGGTATATGTCACGTGAGGATACGAGGTGTATTAAGTTCATACCGACGCATACAAGATATTTCCTTTCAAGTATAGTTTCTGGGTCACTTCCAACACCTCACATAGTTCTGGTACATTAATCCTTTTTCCAGATCATTGTTCTCATGTATTTTCATATGATATCTGTGGAAGTTATGTTCGCTACACGTTCACAGACGTAAATAGTATGACCTTCAAACCCTGATCCACACTTAGTCCTACAGTACACTAGTCCGGCTCAACTGGACTTTAACATTCATCTTATGGATACCCTGAGTTCTCCTTAATGCTATGAATACATACACTTAATATGATATAACTGTACCTGGGTACAATACAACACATGGTCTAGTAACATTGAGTAGGTGAGTTATCCTTTAACAGTGTTTCCCGTTTTTTTGAGATTCTACAAGAGCGGTGGATTTGAATGTTATATAGCGTAATATGAATTAAATGGGGTTTTTAGGAATGACAATGATGTGCGCAGTACACACCAACTTACAATAGGCTAAATTACCTTACAACGTGCTTTCAGTAGCCTATGTTGAAGTTCTTAGCACAGGCTAACTTATCATATCATATACGGTATCACAGTTCTCATTGATCTACAAAAAATACCGGTATTAAAAACCTTTTCGATATTTCACACTTAATATAATACCCGGTAATCTACTTCAACCTCCTATTGTTTACAACGACGCATGACGCATCACGCACCACCAGCTGTATCAGCTAGCCAGTGTTTTTCAAACTTTTTTTACTGCGACCCACAGCCAGAACAACAATTTGAAGTGCGACCCATTAAACCTAAGTGTAATGATATGAAATGAGTAAATCAAAGACAAACACTGCTCTCCTTGCAGTCGCTTCCTAGACTGTGGAGTGTACATTACAATAACCAAGCCTACAT